AGCCAGTGCGAGTGGTAATGAGGTGAATAACGTCATCACATAGAATGTCACCATCAATTCGCCTGCCTCTAATGGAGGATGCAGAATGCATGTCTAGAACTCTTCAGTCGACTTCATTGTACACGGCGAATCTTTGGTGAGCAAAGAAAATCGCTGGTGCAACCAATTTGACCACCCAAAGGTTGGGGTGCCACGTAGTGAGACGATGGATCTAGGGGCATTCCTGCATTGTGGATTTGTGGTAGGCCGTAGAAGCGCGGCATTGCGGCATTCGTGACTTTTGTGGCCAGTGCTTCCCTTCTCGTGAGCGCCCTCGCATTTCTCAGCGTATCCACCGTCTTGTTTATACTGTTCACGAGTTTTTTGAGCTCATTGTCAGTTGATGGCATATAGGCTTCTTTGTCCATTAAGAGGTTGTTCACCTTAGCCTCATAGTCAGCCTCATTCATGACCACCGTAACGTGTCTTGCATCGGTGTCAAGATAATGATATCCTCAACTTTTTTATACTCGGAAGTTCTCCTTCTTCAGCTTGGGAAATCATCATTTGGCGTTTGTTTTGAAGGAGTAAATTTGCCACCTGTGTTCACATGGCGTTCTCGCACTTCTCATTTGTCTTACATTGCTGAAGCGCCGATTCGAAAGATGCCAAAAAGTACTCTGGGCGAGCATCTCTCATATTTAACTTTGCGTCGTAGCACAGAACAGCTAGTTGTTGCTGAGTGAGAGGATAAGAAAATAAGTTGGGAACCAGAACCCCCTCAGAAGAGTCTTGTTTTGGTGGACTGAGTTTTTCAAACTTCACAGCAAACTGATCATCGCGTAACTTGCGGTGGCGCCGTGCACTCTCTAAAGGTTCGGCTTCCTTAGCTCCCAGCTTGTGCACCGTATAAATCGAGCGGCGCGCTGAGGAGCGTTGTTCAATCATTCGTTGATATTTGGGAAATCGGTAGTGGCAGTCTCGTACCATAACCTTGATAAGTTTCTTCGTCATTTCCGCCATCTTCCATTGGCGCAGGTCAGTTTTCAGGGACGGTCTATATCAAAGTTACAAAATTGGCAGACGGGAAGATAAGGCCAACGGTCTTCCGTAAGGCAACTAACACAAAGCGCATTCTTCACTTCCAAAGCAACCACCCTGCTGGTCACAAACACAGTTGT